TGTGTGTGTGTCTGTGTGCATTATCTTTACTTTATTAACTGACGAATTTATTATTTGCGGCCGCCGTCAACCGCTGTGCCACACATGCGTTATCATTGGTTGTTACGTGTGTATGAGTGAGGGAAAGGGAGGCCGACAGACCGAGAGAGAGAGGGTGTGAGCGAGCGAGCGAGAGAGAGAGAGAGAGAGAGAAAGCATTACATGCCCCGCACTCCCATTTGCACTTTCCAGAAGCAAAGAAAGATTTCTTGTCAAAGTTAGCCATGTCTGTGCATCAACTGCTGCTGCAGTGCACATTACCAAGTGCGCCGTCTACGACGCGTGCCATTCCAACCCGTATCTCCGCCCACGGCAGCGTTATCGCCTATGGAACTGGCAACAACGTGGTGGTCCGTGACATGGCAAAGCCAGGCCACGTGACTGTCTGCAGGTGCCATACAGCACCCGTCACGGCTGTGCGCATCAGTCCGTCAGGCAAGTTGGTGGCGTCGGGGGATCAGAACGGGAACCTTCTGGTGTGGGTGCGGCAGCCCGACACGAAGGAGGTGCTCAACACGAAGCAGCTGCAGGGACCGGTCCGTGACATCGCGTGGACGGCAGATGAGGAACGCTTGGCTGTGGTGGGTGATGGAAAGAATATCTTTGCGTCTGCCATCACTATCACTGCTAACAGCATCGGGACCATCAATGGCCACTCGCAGAACATTCTCTCCTGCGACATGCGCGGGGACAGGCCTTACCGTATTGTGACGGGCGGCGCAGACTCGATGGTTGGGTTCTACGAAGGTGTGCCCTTCAAGTTCAAGTGTAATGTTAAGGGCCACACCGACAAAGTAACATGCGTGCGCTATAGCCCAGATATGGAAAGAATTGCAACAGTTTCCAGATCCACTGATATTATTATTCTTGACGGCACAACTGCCGAAAACAAGAAACTCATACCGACAGGGCACAAGGGAACCATTTTTGCCATTGCGTGGAGCCAAGACGGAGGCAAAATTGCCACTGCAAGTGCTGACAAGACCGTCAAAATTTTTGATGCAGAGAAAGGGACGCTTATCGGTTCATGCTCTTTGGGAACCGAGGTTGGTGATATGCAGCAAGGAGTGGCGTACACGTCACAGGGTGTTCTCTCTGTTTCTTTTGGTGGCAAGCTGACATTGATCAGTGAGCAGGGCGAGAAGAAGACTGCCATGTCAGGCCACCAAGGGCGAATCATTCTGCTCCACAATGTCTCGGACAGAACGCTGGTTTCAGTCAGCGTGGACCGAGCACTGGTGTGGTGTGGATCCGGCGATGGGGCAAGGACGGCGCAAGAAGTGCCCATTGGCTCTGACGTCATCAATGCAGCAGCCTTCGGCGAGGGCAACCTGTACCTCGCAGTTGGCAGTGACTTGCTGCGTTACGCCCTGACTGACACCAAGCCTACCCTCATCTCGAAAGAGGCAGCCAACACCGCGGCCTTGGCGGTCACGACGGGCGGGAATGTGGTACTTCTCTCGAAGAACGGCTTCATCGTTGTGGATGCATTAGGGCACAAGGTCGCGGAGGAGAAGCTAAATAAGTTCGACGGCACCAGCGCGGCAGCCCACAGCAGCGCCGTCTTGCTCGGTGGTGACAAGGTGGTCAAGGGCTACCGCGTCACTGCTGGCGGCCTGCCGGAGGCGTACGTGCAGTTCGCCGGCCATCACACCGGCGTGGTGGCGTGCGTGGCCTTCTCGAGCGATGGGCAGCGCGTGGCATCTGGGGATGCGGCGCGGAATATATTTGTGTGGTCAGCCACCGACGGAAGCGTTCTGTACAAGGACCTGGTGTTTCACACCCTCCGCGTCACAGCGCTGGCCTTTTCACCCAAGAACAACGCGCACCTCCTCTCAGGTAGCATGGATGCCGCCCTCATTCTGTGGGACCTCAACGCCACGACGCGCAAGACAGAGGATGGGGCCCACCGCGGTGGGGTGTCGGCCGTTGCCTGGGCAGAAGATGGTGTCTTGCTGTCGGGCGGCAGTGATGCGTGTGTGCGGTGTTGGAAGCCCCCCTCCCGACGAGGTTCGTAGGCCACATGCATCTATCAGTCTCTTCCTTTCTCAACATCAAGCTCCTTCATTGTTCGTTTCAGAGATTTTTTTTGTGTTGGTTTACACGGGTGCTACTGATATTGTTGGGGGTGTCTGCCTTTGGTGTGTTGCATGTCTGCGCTTTGGCCCCACGGCTACCGGTGTGCATCAACGCAACTCTGTTTGTCTTCCCCTTTCTCTCTCTGTCTCGTTTCTTTTCTGTTGTTGTTTTTTTTCGTTTGGCAATTCCGCACGTTGTGGTGGAACGCACGCCTCATTACCCATGCTTGCAGACTATCTGTAGAAACACTCACAACACAACAAAGCTCATTTATTGCTTAACCGCTAATACCCTCTGCAGAGCGAAATTCAACGGAAACAACAGGGAGATAAGAAAAAGGCTTACATAGAGGTAACAGCACTGACGCGGCACTACTAAAGAAAAAAAAAACAATAACGACAATGGGAAAAAGATTCTTTATCATTCTCTCTCTCGTGGTCATATTGGTCGCCTTCTGTGCCGCTGTGGATCGCCCAGAAAATTGGGTCTTCGACCCCAAGACGCTGAAGGTGATCGCCAATCGTGCCATTTCGACGGCCCATGCGCAAAACAGCGGAAACGCAACAGCGCAGCAGATCGTCGCCGCCGTCATCGACGAGGTCACCAAGGCATACCCAGTGCACGCGACATATACGGGGAAGTGGATGTGGAACAACGCCGGCGGGGCGATGGGCACCATGACGGTGCTGCACTGTTCCCTCTCCGAATACCTCATCATCTTCGGCACATCAGTCGGCACGGAGGGCCACACCGGCCGCTACCACTGGGCGGAGGACTTCTTCACCATCATCTACGGTGAGCAGTGGGCCTCGCTACCAGGTGTGTCACCACGCGAGGTGTACAAGCAGGGTGAGCAGCACTACCTCCCACGAAGCACTGCCAAGCAGTATCGCATGCCTGACACTTGCTGGGCACTCGAATACGCCCGCGGAAACATTCCTTCAATGCTCTTTTTTGGTTTCGCCGACCTCTTTAGCTCAACTCTCGACGTTGTGGCGCTGGTTCAAACCGTCTTTGGTAGTGCGGGCCAGATGATTCCAAACCTCCTCCGCGGGAAGATATAAGGGAAATGAACCCGAACATATGGAATGGCAGATTTCGTTTTCTATTTCTTCTCTATTCCCCGTTCGTCCTCGATTGGTGGATTCGTGAAGAAAAACAGAGCATTTTGGGGGTCTTTTATTTCGTCGTTCTCAGAGAATCTTTTTTTTTCCTGGGCATATAGACACGTGCACGCATGGTACGTCTAGAACGAAGGAAGAAGGGGGTAAAATGGGGCGTGCTAAGGGCAGTCACCTCTTGTTTCCTCCCCCATCCTTCGTGTGCGTGTTCTGCGATTTGTGGGGGACGATTCCTTTTGGTGCCTGTATGGGTCTGTTTGTGTGCATGGGTTCGACGTGGCTCCTCCAACACAACTCGGCATCCTCTATTCCACTGTCACGTGTGGTTCTAACCATCCTTTCTCTCTCTCGCTCGCTCGCTTTATCTCTCCAGCTCTCTGTTTTTTTTCACTTCTTATCGCTTGGCATTATTGATACATCAGATTTGGTTTTTCCACAGCTGTTTCGAAGTGATTATAACCGTTGGGCAGCGAGGCCGACCAAATGACAGTTCTTCGTGTACTTGTTTGTGTGTGTTTCGTGGCGGTGCTGAGCTTTGCTGCTGGCGGTGCTGATGGGGCGCTGCAGTTCCACTGGAGGGGGCACACCAGCAATCCCAATCTGGCGAAGGACCTTGCCCCGACGTGGGAGGGAGTCTTTAAGGCCATCCTCCAGTCCATCGAGGATGATGAGTTCCGCAAGGACGTCCAGGAGAAGATTGCTGATGGTGTGAGGCGTGAAAAGACATCGGAAGTCATCAGTTACTGTGATCTTAGCATCGTTGAGTGCAACAAGTATGATATTGTAAAGATGACACTCCGTGGCATGGAGGGGGGAAAGCTGAATCTCGCATACCTTCCAGATACCCTGCAGTCTCTGGAGGTGTCGGACAGCACATTGGCTCAGGAATTCCGCGTAGAAAACCTGTCGCCAAACTTGGAAACCATTGTCTTCTCGAACGTGAGCTTTGCGTCTCCTGCTGCTGTGATTGCCCCCACGTCCGCAGCACTGAAAAAACTCGTGTGCAAAAAGTGTGGTCTGGGCATGGTGACGTTCGGTGACGGAAATGGATTAAATATTTTGGATCTTAGCTATAACGACTTCACCACAGTGCCGTCGTCTCTGCCTGCAACAGTGATGTCACTGAGCTTGAAGGGCTGCAAGCTGGCCGGACCGCTGGAGAAGCTGCTGGGGGCGCTGCCAACGAATGTTCAGTCAATTGACGTCGGCTACACACATCTCACAGATATCCTTGAGGGTATCAAGGGGGTTCCGCATCATGTGCAGCATATTGATATCAGCGGAAACCCAATCAATACGGACGTTTCATTACTCTTGGATGCCCTACGGCCCAGCAGTGGTTTCCTTCAAGGAATTCTGGTAAAGGGCTGTGGCCTGTCAGGAAGGCTGCAGCGGTTTCAAAACATGGTCGCCCTGCGCACGCTTGATGTCTCCCACAACAGCCTCTCATCCGTGAGGTGGGCAGAGCTGCCACCGCGCTTAGAGGTCCTTGCTCTCAGCCACAATGTCTTTGGTGGTGTTCTTCTGGTAAGGAATCTTCCTCCCTCTCTCAAGGTACTGGACGTCTCCCATAACAAACTGGAGGGAAGACTGAACGTTGCAGACGTGCCGCCGAATCTGGAGACACTGGACGTAAGTTACAACGGATTCTCGGGTGCCATTGATCTCACGCAGCTTCCGGATTCTATCCGATATGTATACGTACAGTTCAATAGGTTCCAAGGCACACCAAATTTGGTGGAGATACCAGTTGATCTCCGGCGTATATTGATACACGACAATGACTGGGATTCGCTCCTTCCGCCGCTCTAAGCGGCAATTGCAGAGGGATTGAGAAGGTCTTAGTGTGTGTGTATGGGTGTGAAATGTGGTATTTGAAGAAAAAAGAGGGGGAGTGAAAAGAGAGGTGGTATGTGAAAAAATGAGTTTCTTCTCTGAACGAGATAGCTCATTGTACCACTCAAGTCGTGATCGACGAGTTGGTTTGAATATTTCCCGGACATCACTTCCGCCACCGTCACAGCCACAGTTATTGCTTGGGTTGCTTTGTTTACCCAAATAATTAAAAACAAACAGACCACAGAAAGCAAGAAGATTGCAGGCTCTCATGAATGGAATTGGAGTGTAAGGTCGCACCTCCGCCCAGCACCCAAGCGGTGTATCAAGGAACAGTTTCTCGCTTTTCGAGGGTATCTGGCAGATTCATGAGCTTCAGTGCCTTTCTTCATTGCGATGGGATCGAGTCCGACACCAGTAAGGCTTCCAGAGGAACACTGTACATTGTTGACAAACGGGGCCAGGCATTTTCGTGCATCATTCTTGGCCCCCTCGATACCATAAAGGAAAGCAAAAAGGGTGTGAATGCTTTCGCAATCGTAGGAGAAGGGGGCGGCAAGACAGTTCTGCAGGCCCCGAGTAGTGTTGCCAAGACGTGTTGGGTACGCGTCCTCACATATGTTATTCATGGGGATTACAGCGGTATCGCTTCTGTCCCACAGCCCCCACCTACAGAAAACTCATCTGCGGCTGTTTTACCCGAGAAGCATGGGTCCAGGAAAGACGGCAGTGCATCTATGAAGGGTGTGTTGCTCAAAAAAGGAGGTCGCACTGGTCAATACGTCAAGAGGTGGTTCGAGCTCATACCAGGCGAAGGACTTTTGCACGCGCCTGATGAAAAGTTCACACATGATTCATTGCGGCGAGTTCCCTTAGTGGGTCTCTCGGTAACGTTTTCAGAAGCCAAGCGGCAGATTGTTGTTCCCCCGTCCACTGCGCGGCCGCAGGGAATGGTACTGCGATGCCAAAGGGCAGAGGATTTTTTGCAGTGGCGCAACGCCATCTGTACGGAAAGTTCGGGTCTTTCCCTAACGAGGCCCGTTGGGCATGTGGTGTCGGTGGCCGCCGTGCCTCCAGAAAACAAGGTGGGAATACGCCCGCCGCCTGCCGGCGATGATGATGGCAGTCTTCACTCCTCTGAAGCAAGTGCGCCGAGCGCTTCGGTTTCTTTCGCCGAATGTGCACTTGATGGGACGGTAAGGGAGAATGTGGTGGGCGCCGACGCAGTCGTTCTCACGGCACAAGAGCTGGTGGAACTAGAGGATCTGCAGCGTGACACGCCGTGCGGCTGCGCCTCGGTGGTGGATGCAACGTTGGAGTCACTGGGGGAGAAGTATACGCCGTTAAAGAATACGCCTGGTGTCGACGAGGAACTGCAACGCTACTACGCCGAGTGCCTCCCGTATGGGCTGGAAGCAGCGCTTCAACGGCTGCGGCAGCGCCTCCTCCTCCCCATCAGGGAGCCGTATGAGGCAGTGAATGAGCATATGGTGTTACTTGACCTGGATGTCGAGCGCGTACGCGAGTGTCTCAGGAACACACTTCGCCTGTATGGCGAGGAGGTGGCAGTGCGAAGCGCTGTGGAGGAAATGGACTACATCTTGCGCGTCTATACACGCGTGCGTGAACAGTTGCTCATTCGTCTGGATATCGCCGCGTTCCGTGAGCAGCCCAATCAGTGTGGACTGCCGCTCGGCGTCAATGGCACCGTGGATGCACTCGACACGCTTCTGCCCGTCAGATTTCCCTCTGCAGCAACGTACACTGAGGCTGTTGGCACGTGGAAGGGCTTGTTCCGCGCGTTGCACACGTTCCGATTAGATTTTGATTTGTTTGATGAAAGCGAGGAAACTATCGTGGTGGTGGAAAATGCACTAAAGAAGTTATACGATTGGTTGCAGCAAAACACTCCAGAGTCTGAGGAAGGGAAGGAGGACTTGCGGTAGCGACTCTGAGTGCAGGCGAGTCTGAACGTGCATGGACTTCGAGATGAAGATCAAGAGTGGGTTCGCGTGTGAGGCAAAGGAAAGGGGCGCGGTATGTGCGAATATATTTCTCTCGGTGAGCATGGGGGGCGTGTTTTCACTCACCGCAAAAGGCTTTCATGTTTCCTTTATTTCTCTTCGTTTCTTTTCTATGTGGCCCATTCCGTTTTCTTTTTGTTATTTCTGCAAAGTTTTTTTTGTTTTCCTGGGTTTAAAGCCTCGTCCAATTCTTAGGGCCAAAGGCGCCTTGTTTGTACTTATTCCGGGCACTCTCTCAGCTCCCCCACACGAACAGAGAGAGAGAGAGAGAGAGAGAGGGGGGAGGTGAGGCCAGGGTGCGCAGACATACTTAGCATTAACTTCCTACATGGCGGAACATAACAATGTACGTTTGCGTCAAGCCCAGCGTGCGTTCGGCGATCCGAGGTGCTCGCGTGAGATGCACGAGACCGTGATGGAGGAATTCAACCTGGAGATACGTGAGAACAGCGCACTGCGTAACCGCTCGCTTGTTCTTTCCGCCCTCGCCGGTCTCATCTCGGCCGCAGGCGTGCTCGGTGGAATGGGCCGAGCACNTAACCGCTCGCTTGTTCTTTCCGCCCTCGCCGGTCTCATCTCGGCCGCAGGCGTGCTCGGTGGAATGGGCCGAGCACCGCAGACAGGCCACAGCGGCAGAAGCAGTGGAAATGGCAGTGCCCTACAGATGGCGCTTTCAGGTCAGTTGATTGTGCGCGCCATTGCCGGTGGTGCCGCTGTCGCCTACACCGCCTGTCGCGCGTTGGTGTTTGAGCGCGTCGTGTACGACATCGAGCTGAATCGCGAAGTGTGGGAGATTGAGAACCACCTCACCGGGGAGATACAGGAGATGGTGGCCATCTACAAGGCGCAAGGCTTCTCCGAGGAGGACGCCCTTATGGTGACGCGCGTCTTCGCGAAGCAGAAGACAGCTTTCGCGAACCTCATGATGGTTGAGGAACTCGGATACTCTCGTCTCGAGCCACCCAGCGGGCGCGAAGCCATCGTGGATGCCGCGCTGCCGGCCGCCATCGGCTACACACTCGGCTGGCTCGTGCCGCTCCTGCCATTGACGCTGATGCGGCTGAGCGCGGCACGGCGGCAGACGGTCGGGCTCTGCACGCTGACGGCCGGCTGCATTGCGGTCAGTGTGGCGCAGTCGGAGGTGTTCTACGGCGGCTACGCAAGTCCACGGAAGGCCCTTCGCGTCACTATTTGGAACGTGTCGGCCGCCGGTATTATATTCGCTGCGGCGCGTATCGCGTCGCGTTTATTTCAGAGCGATTGATGGAAAAGGAAAGGGTGTATGGGTTGGGAGTGCACCACGTACACACACACACACACACGCCAAGAAACAAACACCCAAAAAAAACCAAAGAGGAGGAAGTGGAGAAAAAAAAGCAACAAAGAAAAGACTTGCGGTGAAAAGCGGGGTTTTTGCGTTTGTTTTTTAGCTTGTTTGTTTCAACCTCCACTGTGTACGTGGGCACGGCAGCAGTGAGGCACGCGGGCAGAGATACAAGAAGGGTGGCGCAGGAACGATGGGGGGACCTCTCCCTTTCCCACCTATACTACCAGAACCAAAACTTCAACAACACTACGGTCATCCTTCTCTATTCTTTTGACTGTTGCTGCACCGACAGATTTACATTCCCCATGCTAAGCGTTTCTGCTCCGTTTTCAAACCCATGGTACATGTGTCGCTATGTGTGGTATGAGAACTATCTGCCTTTGGTTTTTTGTCTTGCTTCGCATTACTGTTTATTTTTGCGGGGGGAACTGGTTCAGTGATCTTTCCTCACTCTTCACCCCCATCCTTTTTCTTTATCATGGTACATTTTATTGATTTCTTTCAAGCATCAAATCCAGGGGAGGGCATCATTGTTTAAGCTAATGTCAATCATGGCAGATTATCTCATTCCTCAGAGTGGTGGAGGTCACCGGCGCGGTGTAACCTTCCTTATGCTACTTCTTGTTGTCACGGTAACGCCGCTGTGCGGAATGCGTGTAGCATATGGCAAAGGCATTCACGTCACAGTGGTAGCGCCATGGAACGAGACATCGTTCCTGCAAGAGGGATGTGAATGGGAGGCCGCACACAACGCCCTACAAGACGGTTTTTACACATGCCTACAGAATGTATGGAGCCACATTACTACAGACAACAGTAGTGGTGGTGCACTGGCATTGACGCAGAAATCTCAGTATGATATGTTGCTAAGTGTAATGGAAGGCGCCAGGCGGCCGCCCAGTCAAGTGGCGTTGCTGAAAATGAATCTTGCGGCACGGGTGTACTCCCCTGCAGTGGAGGCGCATTGGCAGTTGGCGCGAAGGTCCGTGAGTCTCATTGGTGGGTGTTCCGCTGAAGGCCGTCCCTTTGTGTTGGTTGCGGGCGTCGCCATCTGCGACGAACAGCTTCTGCAGAATATGTTGGAAGCTTCACTCACGAATGTAAAGAATGACGATGATAAAGGGGAAACTGCGGCGCTATTTCCCAAACTAGATCACATTCACCCGCAATCACGAGGACAGAGGACCGTCATCCTCTACGGCATCGTTGGTGAGGAACGGACAATGCAGCTCCTTCGCGTTGTGGAGCGACACCTCGACAGGGTGTGCCTAGCGTTCCGGCACCTTCCTCTGTGGGGAGCAATGTGGAAGAATGCCCTCTCTGTGCAAGGATACGGCGTAACGGTCGATCTGAAGAACATTGAGTACAAGGCGATGGATGAAAAGAAAGGTGATGCAGGCACTGAACGGGATGAGGTGAATGTCAGGGAGGTGGGCGATAGCACAGAGCCCGTTGGTGGTTTTGATGTGCAACTGCTGAAGCAGCGATACCCTGAACTAAAGGCAAATCTGAGCAGCTTCGCGGAATTCGTCGCGGAAATAATTGACCGCGATGAAGTTAAGGTTGACTTTCACATTTGGGAGATACAGAATATGGGAAGTGCAGCTGTGCAGCATGTAATGAGTGCAGACAACGACGAGCAGCTAGGTGTATTGCTGAATTTACTCATGAACTTTCCTTTGCATGCGTCGAGATTGTCCAAAATGGGCTCCGCGGCTAACGCGAAGATGGACAATGCGATGCGGAATACGATGGCAGAAATAGCAAGCGTGGTGCACCCGGGTCAGGTGCTAGTTTTCTTTAACGGTCGCCGTGTGCAAACCCCACAATATAGTCTCTTCTCTCTCCTGCAAATGATGGAGGAGGAGGAGCAGATGCTCGAAGGTTTGACGCGGGTTCTCACTAGTCACCGTATTCCCTCCGAGAATGATCATGGGTTTGCATCGGTCAGTGCAGGTGTCATGAACAAGGTGCTCAATTGGGTCACGCGAACGGTGCGGCAGCAAACACCAGAGAAGGGGTCGGAGGAGGACGAACCCTCACGCCGCATCTGGATTCCGAAGCAGAATATATTCTGGCTCAACGACATGGAGGGTGATTCTGCGTATGACCACTTGCCAGATAGTCTGGAGGCAATTCTCTCTGTTGGTTTTAACGGCATGCCAACTTTTCCCCAGAAGAATCTTTTCCACGTTGTGTGCATTGCAGACCCGACGACAGCCATGGGCCTACAGACAATCAACATGATGCTGCAGTTGGAGTCTCGGAAACAGCCGCTGCGCCTGGGCATCGTCTTAGCGGACACGCACTGGTCTCCGGAGATTAAGGTCACGGCAGAAGGGGCGGAAATGATCACAGAGACGGTGGTATCGGGTGCCACCGCCGCCATCACAGCCACTGTGTGGGAACTCTTGAGCGATGGAGAGGGCCTGCCGGTGATAATGGGGTTCTTTGCTCAACTGGCGCGACTGTTGGAGATACACGATGTGATTAATGAGGAGAGCGTACAGATAGTGGCGACGGATGCCCTTTTGGCAGCAGGGAAGCGTACGCTAAATGACCTCATGGTCGATCCTAAATTCGTTGTTTTCTATCAGGAGACGCAAGAACAGCTTTTCATGATGCATCTGAAGGATCTGCCAGTCACTCTACTAAACGGTAAAATGTTTCCGGAAGGCATCGTATGGGCCCTTCGTAATGGCTTATCAAGGGAACTGCACTACGTGCGTCAGTTAGTCCACAAAAACAAACTCCAGGATACAGACAAGAACCTTTACGACTCTATCATGCAGCATGGTGGGGCTCTGCAGCGTTACAGTGCGGCTCTTTACGAGGATGAAACATACGTTGACTGGACGTCCAAGTCAGTGCTGGACTTCCTTCACTACCGACGGTTTTTGTTACCTTATTCACATGCAGGGGAAGTGCCGCTTGTGAGCGGCGTCGTAGTTCTCCGCGCCGCAGTGACACCGCGAAATCTCAACGCCATTTTGAAAGCCACCTGGCAGCTCATGCAGTGTGAAGAGGGGGCACATGACTGCAGTCGTGTTCGTCTCACATATGCTGTTTGTGGAGTTGTGCAGCGAGCCGGTCGGCGTACAGTGTGGGGGGATTTGGAGCGTCTCCTGCTGACAGAAGACGGTTCAGGGGAAAAGCGGCAGCTGAGGTTGGTGTATGACTTCCTCGCCACCGTCGCCAAGAAGAGTGCGCAGAGACTGGATGACCCCGCTGTGTATGAGAGTTTTGTTGCGGATATGAACTTCTCTCCCGAGCTTCACAGCATCTTGGATTCCCCTGCTGCGAGCACAGCTACCCAGCAGCAACAGCAACACGCTCTCGTAGAGGGCTTCTGCACGCAGATGGATAGGCAGTTGTCAGCAGCGAATGGTCATACCGCTGAAGAGGCGGCGGAGCAGACGGAAAAGAAAAAGGAAGAGGCTGTGTACTACTATGCCAATGGGCGCCGCTTTGTGTACGATGATAAATTTGTGGACGATGACTTCGCAGACGCCTCACTATTGGAGATGTCGTACGCCAAAATCGTCCAAAGCGTGCTTGCAAAAGTGAAGTTTGAAAAGATGAGTACCGAGCTGCAGCAAGCCGGGCTTGACAACAGCTTCTACGCAAGCAAAATCACCGCACTGGCAGCACTGATGAAACGCGATGCGGCTCATGGCGGCCACGGTGAGGAGAAACGGCTGCTGCCGCCCGCCCCTGGCCCGCTGTCTTTTGTGGTTGGCCCAGCAAAGGGCACCGTGCCGCGGCACAAGCTGACTATCGTAGTTGATCCTATTGGGCGGCAGTCACAGCTTCTCGTCTCGCTGTGCGACTACATCGCCCGCTCGCCCATTGGTGCTGTATGTGCTGTGTATCTTAACCCGTCACAGAGAGTCGATAAGCCCATGCGCAACTTTTACCAGTTTGTTGGCGATGCACATGTGCATTTTGATGCGGCAGGGCGTGTGGTACCACCGGCTGCAGTGTTTGGACGGCTGCCGTCGCAGCATTTGCTCACGCTCGGTGTGGAGGAGCCAGAGAGCTGGACGTTATTTCCAATGGAGGCAAAGTATGACCTTGACAACATTGTCCTCGCCAAGCTGCCAACGGCTTCATACTACCTGTACGCCACCTACCGCCTCAACTCGATCCTCATCACGGGTACCGCAAAGGAGACTGGAATGTCCTCTCCGCCGCGTGGCCTTCCGCTTATGCTGCGCTCGTCAAGGGATGCAGCGCCCGCTGCTGCCGCTGGCGTCACTCGCGATACACTCGTGATGGCAAACTTGGGCTACTTCCAGCTCCAGAGCGCACCGGGTGTTTGGTACCTTACTGTGCAGCCGGGTGACATCGCGACTGCCTTCTACATCTCCCGCATCAACAAAGCGCAGGTCAGCAACGCGGCAAATGGGCCCAATAACGGTGAGTTCAACTACACCTCAGGTCAGTCCATTCCCATTGTGGTCACCTCTTTCAATGGGGAGTACATGACGCTAGAGGTAGCTAAGACGCCGGGCCACAAAACGACGCTCATTCAGGACCTCGTGGCGGCATCCGACACACGTGCGGAATGGCCGCCGCGGGGGCCACGCGCAAAGCGGCCAGAGCGCCCGACGCTTAACATTTTTTCCGTTGCCTCGGGCCACCTCTATGAACGTTTTCTGCGCATGATGATCCGCAGCGTGATGCTAACCTCGTCCGATGTCCACGGCGCCAACACCACTAGGATAAAGTTCTGGTTAATTGAGAACTTTTTGTCCCCACAGTTCAAGGAGCTCGTCCCGCTTCTGGCGGAGCACTACGGTTTTGACGTGGGCTTTGTCACGTACCGCTGGCCGTGGTGGCTAAACAAGCAGACAGAAAAGCAGCGCACTATATGGGCGTACAAGATCCTTTTCCTGGACGTCCTGTTCCCACTCGATGTGGAGCGTATCATATTCGTTGACGCTGACCAAACAGTGCAGTCGGACTTGCACGAGCTGTATAATATGGATATTGGCAACGCTCCTGTGGCGTACACACCCTTCTGCAGACGACACCCAAACAAGGCGACGACGAACTTCCGCTTCTGGGACCGCGGGTTCTGGGTGGACCACCTCCGCGGGAAGCCGTACCACATCAGCGCCATTTACCTCGTTGACGTGCGGCAGTTGCGCGCCATTGCGGGGGGTGACCAGTACCGTATGGTGTACAGCCAGCTCAGTCGTGACCCGAACAGCCTGGCGAACTTGGACCAGGATCTCCCCAACTACATGCAGGAGCAGGTGCCCATATTCTCGCTCCCAGAGGAATGGCTCTGGTGCGAAACGTGGTGTGGGGAAGAGAGCAAGGCACGGGCAAAGACGATTGACCTCTGCAATAACCCGCTGACGAAGATCCCGAAGTTGGAAAATGCGAAGCGCATCATTGACGGCTGGGAGGACATTGATGCTGAGCTGGAGGCCCTCTCGGAGAAGCTTCGCAAGCAGCACAGCAAGAAATAGGAATAAACGCAGCGGACGGTGAAATAGGTGTTGGATCTGTTTCTAAAGAAGCGAGAGAGAGGGAGAAAGAGAGAATGAGAAAAGGGCAACGGAAAACGAGGGAAAAGAAGAAGAATGAGGGAAAGAGGAAGGAACAAAAAGAGACAACAAATAAAGAACAGAGAGGCTGCGGCAGATTGCTAAACAAAAAAAAAACGTCTGGGAGCGAAGGAGGGACACGGGTCTTCGTTCCATACACGAGGGAGTATTCATCACGGAGGGTAGATGGGTGGAGTATTCACACTGTGGCCGCGATGAACAAAGTACACACGGTGGTGGTAACAACGGCTGCGTTGGTTGCAGTGGTTGTGTTGTTATGTGTTTATTGATCGCGCAAACGTGATTCTCTGTTAGAAGTCATTTCCTGTACGGTACCGCCCTTTCTCTTTTCGTCTTTGTTGTTGTTGCAGCGGTGGGGTCTCTTCATCAGCATATACCCTCAGTGGCAGAAAAGCGTCAAGCCACCTATTTTACACACAAGTTTACATCCTTTTAAGAAGAAAGCAAAGAACTTAAGCGAAACCAGAGAAATCGATTAAAGCACAATTTATTCCCTCTTAACTCTGATTGCGGTGTGGTGCAGCTCACATCGCACATGACGTTTTCGTCCCCTCCCGGCGATGCATGGACGGATGAGAAAAGTGCCAGCATCGACTGGACGGATCCCGATGAGGTTCTGTGCAACAGCTGGACATTTCTGCGCATCATGGACTTTCACCCTCCTCTGGCACAGTACGCCGCTACTCACGTGGATGAAATGGAGCTTTGGCGGACGGTGTTTATGGATTCCCGCCGCATCGACGAACAGAAGAAGGCGCTGCAGTATTGGTTGGTGAACGGATTGCTTTCCCTCCGTGAGGAACGCTGGTGCCGGCACTGCGGTAACCAAGGGCATACACAGCGGCAGTGCGAGCAGCTCCACGCCGACGCTGTGCCTGTGAGGGACGGGCCGAGCCGCATCATGTCTCGCTTTGCCGCCCACCAGGCGGAGATTGAGCGCTGCAAATTGCTGCAGGAGAAGCAGTGGAAGGAGGGCGGCGCTGCCTCTCCCTTAAAAAGGATTGGTCGCGACGGAGCGCAGAAGCGCGGTGGGGGTGGCGACAGCTCGCAGGCTGGGCGTTCTAAATCGCGGAAGGAGCTCACGCCTTTCGCAGAGGAGAGGCGTCGCGGTACGGTTGGGCGCATTGACACAAATTACGGCATCGGCTTCGTACGGGTGCCGGAGGTTGGTGATGTGAAGTTCTTCATGGACCGCGTCGATTACGGCATAAAGGAGATTGCGCTCGGCGACGTCGTGACGATGAAGATCGACCACAGCAGGGAGTATCCGCTCGCTGTTGACATTCGCCCAGAGAGAGCAACTGTCACGCTAGAGGATGTGAATAAGTTCATTCAGCGCTGCAAAACAGCGACGGCGCCCATAACTGTCATCAAGACCATCATGACACACACACACGAGTGGCCCAATGTGCTCACACTGCTACGCAGCATGGCTGGACCCGCCTTTCTTGACGCGGTGCACACACTCGTGGAGCTGACAACATTTGTCGGCAACCGGGAGCCTATTCATATTCCACTTCTCGAGTCCTTTCTTGCATTAATGTTGCGGTCTTCCAACAAGGGGATCGTCGCCCCGTTCTTCCCTTTAATGGTGCTCGATGCCCTTCAAGTGGGGAGCAGGAGCGAGATGGCTGCTGAGACACCAATGTTGGTCGAGAGGTGGATTGAAGTGGCCAACCTCATTGTGCTGCTTCGGCAGCACGCAAACACCACGGGGGAAGTGACAGATGAAGTGCAGACAATGCTGGAATCGCTTCTGACCGCAAGCCAAAACCCCACCGCTGGAGTAACAGCAACGACCGCGGTGGTGGCAACAGCAGCAGCAGCAGCAAAAAAGAAGGTGGATGCGGCGCTGCGTCGCTTGCGGTGTCCATCAGGAAATAAACTAACAACGCTCGTCATCCCCTCGGTAGAAGACTTTGCCATCCCACCGCCGGACCCTCGCTCGGTCTTTAGTCCACAGAGTCTCCCTATTAACGGCGCGACGAATTACACCACCACGGAGGCTTTCATCACAGATCACTGTCGCCTATTGCGTGCAGACACCTTTGAAACGGTGAGTCGTCTCCTACCAGCCGTGTGTTTTCAGCTCCCCAACTACAAACCGACGGCGGAAACAGAATCGGATGTTCTGCATGCATGGCTGTATGACGGTGTGCGCTTCATGGGGCGTGTGGTGACGCGGGATAGAGATTACGCGTCACCGGATAGCTATATTCTGCAGGTGCGGNCCAAAAAATCGAATGCGGGGCTTCCCTCGCAGCTTCTCCCAGGTACAGCTCTCTGTATTACAACAGGTCTCGATCGCACATTCATAGACACAAATGAAATTTTTTGGGGTATTGTAACATCATGCAACTCACATCTTTTGGATGGGTCTATGATTGTGGTGGCACCCTGTGAAACCAGTACGGGGTTTGATGTTCTCTGTGAGCACCTAAGGCGCAATGAAGAAATGGGCAAGACGGATCACTCCTGTATGTTGGTGACAACTATCTTCATGGCAGGTTATAAGAGCATAATGAAGGCACTCAGTGCCTTTGTTGGTCCTCTTGCAATGCCTCTCCCTATGGCATCCACGCTTGTGAGTGCAGAGGCGGCTGCGAACGCATCGGTCGGTGGCATCTGTAAGGTGAAAAAACCGGACGACCTCGTAGCATACATACCGCCCCACTGCGAATTTGCTTTTGATGATCTCATTGGCAGCGTTAATAGTCGCTTTGCCCTCGACGAAGGGCAGAAGGAGGCCATGCGTTGTCTTCCCACTTCCGATATTCTCCTTGTACAGGGTCCACCAGGGACAGGTAAGTCGTTTATTGGGTGCCGCGTGGTGGAGGTGTACGTTCGCTACAAGCAGTTGGTCGCGTCGGGTGACATACTTCGTACAATAGACGTGGATCAGCTTAGGTCCACATCAGCGGATGATATGTTGCCAACTGTTGGGCCTATTGTGATCATTACGTACAAGAATCACGCCCTCGATGAGTTTCTCTTGGACCTGCTGCGAAGCGGCTTGTGGGATGAAGAGCGCCCCCGCATAGCCCAGCAATTGATTGGTGGATCCTCCGCTAGCAAGTCGGAGTTGTTCCCCCACGGCAAACGTATTGTACGTATAGGCGGCCGCTCACGCGAGCCAGCACTTGACCCGTACAACCTGGGCACCTTGCTGCGTTCCAAGAGTGATAAGGCGGCCCTCAATAGTCTCAAGGAGCGGTTGTTCCTCATGAACCAGCGGCTGGAGCGGCTGCTCAAGGAGATCCACTACCTGGAGTCAGGACGTGTGCCGAAGACTTTCTTCGAGCGGTGGCTGACGGAGGAGCAGCGAAAGCATATACGCTACGAAGACCGAGACGACTGGTTGCAGGGGAAACAGTACGTCGGCAGTTCCACCCGTTCCGCTGAGCGAACGCTGTATCTCACCCTCCTACGCACACAGTTGTCAGTGTGCCTCGAGGAGGCTCAGAAGTCATCTATCCCCACTTTGGCCACCTCGGCTAATGATGATAAGACTGCAACAGCAGATGATGATGACGGCGGCGCGCCTCTGAGTGTCTTTCAGGAGATGAAGCGTGAAAAGGAGAATTGCGATTTTAATGAATCGCTCCACACAACGTACCTCTCAGTGGAGGCGATGGAGTTGGCGAAGAATCCGCCCAAGCGCCCAGATGGTGTCCCAGAGGAGTTGCTCTCGCTGTGGAGCCTCGACCCTGTCCTTCGTCATGAGTACTACGCCTATCTGATCCGTGATTGCATCTCTGCTAAGGCCCGGGACTGCCTGCTGATTATGGATGCTATCATGAACGCTGTGACGATACGTAACCATGCTATGGATGAGGTGAGGCTTGCGCTGCTTCAGGGGGCGGATGTTGTTGGCCTCACTACGACCGGATGCGCGACAAATCAGAATCTTCTACGCTCACTTCGACCAAGTGTTCTGGTGGTAGAGGAAGCCGCGGAAGTACTCGAGTCACAGCTGCTCGCCTGTATGACTGACTCTTTACAGCAAATTATACTTATTGGCGACCACTACCAGCTGCAACCCAAGGTGGAAACCTTTCTCTACGAAAAGGTCAATCGGCTCAACATGTCACTTTTCGAACGCCTGGCGTTCCGCATGAAGCCGATTTGTCTGACTGAGCAACGACGTATGCACCCAAGCATCTCACGACTCGTGCGGCCCTTCTATCAAACGCAGACTCTGTTGGACAATGAAGGACTTCTCAGGCGACCGTTTGTCTCCTCAGGAGGTGAGAAGTATACAGACCGCGTGCCCGGCTTGGCGAAGCGGGTCTTCTTTTGGCGCCACAACCACCCTGAGGAGGAGGCTTCGGGAAGCCGCAGCAAGGTCAATGTGAAGGAGGTGGAGATGGTGCTCAAGTTTGTGGCGCACATCACGTCGGAGGGTGTGCACCAGAAGTCTATCACCGTTATTACACCGTACCTCGGGCAGTGCCGGTTACTGCGCACCTCGTTGCGTCTCCGCGCCTTTAGCGACGTTGCGGTAAGCACTGTAGATCTTTTTCAGGGCGATGAGAATGATGTTATAATTATTTCTATGGTGCGAACAGAACGGCTGACAGAGTTCTTGCGAATGCGAAACCGCATGATTGTATGTTGTAGTCGAGCGCGCTTTGCAATGGTGATGGTCGGAAGCGACACTCTCTTGCAGCAGTCAAGTCATTGGAAGGAGGTTCTGGATATGCTGCAAGCAGACGGGTGTGTCGGTGATCGGTTGCCCATCACGCACCGCCAGTTACCTAACAAAACTGCATGGATGGATTCATAAAGGCGTGTGGAATCTGGTTTGTTATAATATCTCTTGTTGAGTGAGTGTGAATGTTTCTCTGTGAGGCGTTCATTTGGACACATGAAGACGGAGAGTGTCTGGCGAGTAGACGGGTTCCACAGGAGCATGTTAAACACACACAGACAGACCCACTTAGGTGCAAACAAAGCGAGGAGGAACGGTACCAGTATCAAATTCATATGTTCCCCATATTTTGTTACACTATGGTGTTTCTCGCTTTCATTATTGATGTTGTTGCTTTTTGTTTTCATCTTCTTATATTTTTTTGCTTCTAGAACGGAAATTGACCATCTCACTGAGTTCAGGGCGTAAAGGTGCGTAGTTTTATCGGTATAGGAAGCGGAATATAGGCGTGTTTTGCAGCTATAGGGCCAGTCTTCCGGCCATGCACATTGTCGTGGAAATTATTGGGTATGTCTCCTTCATCCTGCGCGCGCTTATAATTTGCATAGTAGACCTGTACATCATGTATTTTCGTGTCGGTCTTGTCTGGCGGCGAAGAAGAAGCCGTCCCACGTCCATGGAGCGGCGTGACCTTGTCATGCAACTGGCGCCACAGTCGCCCACGCACAGCCGACTCAGTTCGTCGGATATGATTCTAGTACTTAACGAATCTTTTCTGGACCGCGCCTTGTGGAAAGGGCTTTGTGCCAGCGGGGCACAGCCCTCCGCTGTTGTAACTGGTGTGTCATACGGTGGGATAGGCTTTTACACCGCCCTCAACCTTATTTTATGCGGCTTCAATGTGCACGGTGTAACCCGCTCGCAGAAATCTGTGAACCAGGCAGAGCGAATGATGCAGATTGCTGTAGAACGTCAGAGTAGACTGCACAAGGAGTGGATGGGCAAAACTGGGCGTCTTATTCCCCATCAGTGCGATATGAGCGACACAGCGGCAGTGAGTAACCTCTGCACTATCCTCTCCCGCGACCCGGATCTTCGTGTTGTGGTTGGCACCGCGGGGACGGCGGCAGCGCCTCCACGCCTTTCGCCGCAGCGACTTGAACAGCATGTCGCAACACATCATGTGGGCCATAGTCTATTGATGCTCCGCCTACTTCAGTACCGCCTCCAGCAGAGAAATATCCCGTCCTCGCTGTGGCCCCACTGGCGGTTTGTTGTGGTTGTGTCCCCCCACGCTGGGACCTCAAATCTTAAAGTTGAAAGTATCTTTGATTCACACGACGATGAAGAAGTCTTTCGGTCTACATTTGACCGCTACAGTGGCTATAGTCATGCTGAAATGTGTAAACTATTGTTCGCCTTCTCCTTGAGCCGATTTCTGGAGCGTGAAAATCGGCTCGCATCCCTCTGCACTGTGAATGTGGTGGACCCTGGCCCTGCGCGAAGCCACGTGATAGCCAATAGCCAGCTACCGCTTTCGAGCATTCTTGACAGCAACATTGCTGCCATATTCCGCCTCTCTCCGGTTATTTCTGCACTGTACGTTACGGATCTCTGCCTCAGCAAGCGTGTGGATGATGTCAATGGTCATTACTTCCGCATGGGGGAGGACCAGACCGCCGTCTTCGCTGCCCTGCAGAAAGATATGGAAGCGCGTGCGGGAATTTGGGTGAACTCGCCGCTGTTCCGCGGGACGCCGGGTCCCGTTGTGTCACTCTCGACACGAATGCAAGATGCAGTGTGGCGGTTCACCCTGTCGTACTTTACCTCTCACGCACTACTTGAAGCTAAGGCTTTCTACCGATGAAGAAGGGCGCCGGTGGGTGAGCTGCTAAGTGAGTGTGTGTCTCTGTCTCTCCCTGCGTGCGTGCGTGCGTCCGTGAAAGAGAATCTTTTTTTTTTTCTCTCTGTCTGAGCAAAGAGAAGGAGAACGAGAAAAAAACTCAACTCTCAATTTGTTTGGTTGTGTGCTTGTTTTCTGGTTTGCTTCTGTTTTTTTTTTTCGTTGCTGTTGTTGTTTCCTTTTTATTTTGCCACTGTGGAAGTCGCATAATGACACCTCCATGCAAGTTCACATGTTGGTCTCTCTTTACGCCTTTTTTTCGGGGGGGGGCTTCCAATCCCTCACGGACGTACTGAGGTGTATACATTCATGCGGGCAGAGATGCACACAGTTTTGTTTTCGCATTCTTATTCACAATGAAAAGGTAAACAAAGAAGTGGTTGTGGTAAAGTAGTTCCACATGTCTGACAGAAAGGAACTTCGCCCACCGACCTTTAGCGCCAGACTAATCTCTCTGGCAGCGCTCACGACTGTGAGTGTCGCTCTCGGTGTTGGCATGAAACTGAGTCAATCGAAAGGAGGGTACGAATACTCACCGGCAGGCGCCGTCGTGATGACAGAAATATTTAAACTCGGAGTGACACTTTTGATAATATGGCGCCTGGCACGGGCAAGGGAGATAGTGACGCAGTCTCCTCCACCGTCGGTGATAAGCAACATGATTCGGATCTTCACGGAGAACGTGACGTGGGACCTTATTCAGCGAGAATTTCTTCTTAGTTTGGCATACGCCTTTGTGAACGTTGTGACGTTTCCCATATTTATTTACATGTCGGCAAGTGAGTTTTACCTCTTGAAGGCGGCGTCACCAGTAGTGACAGCCTTACTGTTGCGTGTAGTATCGCACACGTCCATTTCGCGGTTGTGCTGGCTTGCCATTATCATGCAGTGTCTTGGCTTGGTTGTCACTCAGGTAAATCTTTGCAACGGGATGACTACGTCCCCCCCGCTGGGTTACATTCTGATGGTGGCGAACATGGTTTTTTCGTGCCTCGCTGGTGTATACAATGAGAAGATCATAAAGACGCAAAACTCGAGCTTGAATGCGCAGAATGTTATTCTCTACTGTTTTGGGATACTTCTTAACACCGTGTTGCACTTCGCGGTTCCTGCGAAGTACCTTGGCATTGCGAAAAAGCCGGGTTTTTTCGATGGATACAGCCCAAGCGCCTTGTTAGTGGTTTTCTCGAATGGTTCGGTGGGATTGGTAATCAGTGCAGTGTACAAGTACGCTGACGTTGTGGTGAAAACGTTCGGCGTGGCCTCCAGTACGTCTGTGCTCTTTGTACTGGAGTCACTCGGTCTTGTCCCGAGGGGTCGCGAGAAGCCAAGTCTAAGCCTCACCTTGTGTGGCGCCACCGTAATCTTCTACGCGGCGTACGTTTACATAGCACCCGAGCCCAATGGGAGCACTGTGTACGCACGACTCGAAACGGAAGATGCAGGGGATGAAGGTGCCGCGAAGAAAATTCCCACTCTCAAAGGTGTAAAAACGAATGCGGAGGGAACAGTAGAAGCAGCAGCGCCTCCTCTCCATCTGCGCAGAGTTTGTAAAAATGGTGGTGGTCACGCCTTTGTGCTGTTCCTCATGGGGGCTGTTACAGTATCTGTTATTTTTTTTGAATATGAGGGATGCGCGTAGTATGGAACAAGTAAAGATTCTTTCTCGTTCTGGGGGGATTTTTGAAGGGGTGGGTGTCCAAATAGTTGTCTGACCAACTGATGGGGTAAGCGAGTGTCTCCCATGGGTTGGTGTGTCTGATCAGAAGATTTCGAGTAGGATCCAGATGGAAGTTGACCATTACTGTCCCATCTCTTACCATTCCCGCGAAGCGGCGGAGTCTCTGCGAGTTGTGAGATTCTGAACTTGCCACTTTCGCAAGTGGAATGCTGATTTGATGGAGAAATCATTATGAATTGGGAACACCCAATTGAGTGGGTTCGACAGCTCGGAGAAAGAATGGAGACTTTCTGTGAAATTGTCCGAGACTTTTTTGTTGTTGTTGTTGTTTTTTCGCCTTCGTAGACTTCAGTAGAATGGTAGCTGTAGATCTGATGGCATCAGAGAAATATTCCCAATAACTTTTTGGGGCCAGCTGTCAAACGTTTTCGTTTCTACGCTTGCTGTTGTCGATTGATTCACGGATGATGTAAGAGAAAAAACAAGTGGCATAACCTTGTTTTTTTTTCTGCTGAGGGAAGCTGCTGGCGTGTAACCTGCAATTCGGGGGGAAAAACGTCAAAAGCCGTGCGTTCCCGACACGGAAGCGGAGGTGGAAATGCATTTACGCCGAGCCACGAACCGTGCTGAGGTATTCACCCCCCGAAGGGCCAATCCTCTCTGAAAACAAATCCCCTTGTCTCCCGTATGTCTCTCCTCTTTTGCTTGGTGAGCGGCTTAAATGGCGCCCAACAGCTAGTCAGACATTGTGTAACACCGTGAGGGAGTTCTTTGTCTTGCCTTCACAGGCCAAGTCAACGCGGCCGGACTTTAACCAGAAGGTCACGAGCGGAACGCCGTTCACAATAGACAGTGCTGGGCATTGGGGTGGGGTGTCACGATAGTATAAGCCAATACGGCATAGTAGATCATTATGCAATGTTTGTCAACGCTTCACTTGCTCTGTCCAAATGGCGTACTAACCCTATGTATCACAATAAGGTGGTAGGAATCACGAAGAAGTCCTTCAAACAAAAAAAAAAGTTGACTTCCACTCTCCTGTCTTTGCTCGAAGAAATTTTCTTTTTTATATGAGATAAGAAAAGAAAAAATGCAACTCTGGAAAATTCGCCTATTCGTTTTCGCTGGTTTTGTGCTCCCTTCATCAACACCTCCATCTTCCATGCGTCATTTCCTAATATACAAAACACATAGAGAAAGCCTCGGCAGTGCCTTGGCAAAGGAGGAGACATGTCGATAGGTATGGATGTAAAGTTTACACGGTATGTGAGTCCGTTTTCTGGGCGCGAGGTCCGACAGATGCGCGTCGGGAAAGGCGTCACATCGCCGTTCCGCCAAATAGCCGATGCAATTCGAGCCTCGCGCCCATACGACCGCATTGAGGTGGAGAACGGCAAGTATTTCGAGGCGCTTACGATCAATCACCCACTGGAGCTATGCAGCGCAAAAGATGGAGAGCCACCTGTTATTATATCACGTGGTCCGTGCTTGAAGATCAATACGGATGGTCCAGTGCTCGTGCAGAGTATGTCCATCATCGCAAAGGGCACCAAGGCGTCTGACAGTCAGGGTATATTAATTGAGCGTGGCAAACCGCTCATACAAGACTGTGAGATTTCCTCTGTGCACGTCACCAACGATGCCACACCACAGATAAGGCACTGCCATATATGCAACTCAGAGTATGGATTTGGGCTCTCCATCACCGGCAGAAGTGGTGGTGTCTACGAACACAATGATATTAGTTTCCACAATGCAGAGTGTGTGCACATCAATACTACTGGAAGCCCAGACATTCACCACAACCGTATCACTCAAAAAAAAGGCAAGCACAGCATGGTAGTGACAATCAGCGGGCGGCTTCTCGATTATTGTGAGCCGGTTTTTCGTGAAAATATCGTCCGTGGCGGAGGGGAGACAGCGAACGAGGACGAAATCGATCCCGAATCAGTGCACTCGACACAAATGCTACTTGAGGATACCTCCAGCGCATGGGCATGCCTTGTGTGTACCACGGATGGGGCGACTCCACTTCTCATGGGCAATCTTCTATGCAACGGTCTCACTGGTTTCTACTTCAAGGGGTGTAATATACCCCCAGAACGATTCTGTGGCAATCGAGTTATTAACTGTGCAGCGTGGGGCGTCGCTATCGGGGAGGCAACGTCTTTGTTTGCCAAGGGTAACGACATTCAGCGCTGTGGTGGCGGCATCCACGTCTGCCCGACTGCTACCAGCAGCCGTGGTGAGGTGAAGTCTCCTCGTGTGACGCTGACAAAGTGTGATTTTCTGAGGAACTTTCATTATGGCATGCTTATTGACCGTTCTATTGTCGCTGTTGACGGGTGCAATGTGTCAGAATGTTCAGTAGGCATTGCTTTTCTCGGAAACTGTGCAGCGAGCATCATCACACATAACACTTTTACCCGAAACCACGTCGCGGCATTCTCTGTCATGCGCCACGGCGTTGCTGTCATTGAAAACAATACTGTCCGCGGGTGTGGCAGCAGCATGTATGGTGCCTTTGTGCAGGAGGGTTCTAGTCTAACCTTGCGGTCAAACCGTATTGGTGGAACCTCCACCAGTGTCTATGTGCGTGACGGGAGTCGTCTTGTTGCTGAAAAAAACACGCTCCAGGAGTCTTCGGTACACCATGTGGTCCTTGTGGAAGCAAGCAAAGCCACGCTGCAGGAAAACACTATCGAAGGCAGTGCATGTGCATCTGTGGTGGTTACGAACCGCAGTGAGTGCATTGTGCGTGGCAACGTGATGTACTCCAGTTTCCAGGAGGGCGTGTTGGTGGAGGACGGGGGCAATGTTACTTTAGAGCGGAATAGCATGAGCTCAATGGCGGAAGCAATTTACGTGAAAACTGGTGGTTCTGTGCACGCCGAGGAGAACGATGTGACGCTCAGTCAATACGGTGTGGTTGTGGAGGGGCGTGGAAGCAAATGTACGGTTTTGTGTAATCGATTCCGAAGCATCTCTACAATAGCTGTGTACGCCCTCGGGGACGCCACCGTCACCATCAAGGAAAACACACTAACGGATTCCTCGGGTTTGGGTATTCAAGTGGCCTCGGGTGCTGAGGCCCTCGTTGAGAAAAATACTATCACCAACTTTAGCGATGGTGCCGTTCACTTTGATGGTCTCAGGACTCTGTGCCGAGTTTTCCAATGCCGCATGGAGAATGTTGGATATGGTGTCTGGTGTACGCGACGTTCCACTGGCACTGTTGAAGGTAATCATGTACGCACATGCAAGCGGTTTGGCGTAGCGTGTGAGTCGGCTGAGGATGTTGCTGTTCACGACAACAACATTACCGGTGCTGGTACCGGGATCATGCTCTCAGCCAGTGGTGATATACATGATAATGTTATTGAGGAAAGCGAAGTCGGTATCTCGGCTTGTACAGGTTCTGTTGCGAAGGTGAAGAACCATCGCATCGCAAACTGCAACGTGGGCGTGTCTCTAGAAGGTGGTGCATCTATCAGCTTGTCTGATGTCACCATTCAAGGGTCTCAAAGGTTTGGCGTGGTGGTTGATGGTCCTGCAGCTGATTCAAAAGTGAGTGATGCAACCATCGAGGGCTGCAAGGTGGCGGGTGTGCTCGTTAGAAAAGGTGGCGGGTGTCGTTTTGATCGTTGCGTCGTAAAGCACAGCAAAGAGGATGGCATTCGTCTAGAGGAGGCGGGCGCGGTTGTGTTTGAGCAGTGCACCATCGTCGAGCACTGTCACGGGGTCACTACGACTGGCGGTTCGCATCGTGCAGGAGAGCCCCTCTTGGTAAACTGCTCCATCGACGGAAGCCACAGCGAGGCGGGTGTGCTCAGCACTGACGGTGGCGTCGTACGGCTCGAGCGGTGCAAAATTAGCGCACGGTGCCCGCAGAAGGGGAGCGGCGCCATTGTGCATGAGAATGGGGTTGTGGTGCTGTCGCACTGTGACGTCACGGAGTGCACAAACACTGGCGTCGTCGCCTCGCCAGGATCACGGGCAGTCGTCGAGCACACGACTATTGACAACTGCGGGATCGGTATCACTTTCACATCACCAGAAGAGGAAAAAGACGATTCACGGCAGCTGCACGAGGAGAAGGTGAAGGAAGAGGAGCATCACAAGAGCGACCAAAAACTGGCCAACAGTAGCACTACAAGAAGCATTAGCTGTCTCCAGGGGAGTAGCAGCACAAGCATTCCTTCGGTATTCACGCAGATGATGATCAGAGGATGNACTGAGGCTGGCATCTGGTACAAACCCGGAAGCAATGGCGCAGTGACCTGCACAACAGTTGAGGAGTGTGCCACAGGCGTCTTTGTGGAGCGCGAGAGTTATGTAACGCTTCATACAACAGTTGTAAACGCCTCCCCTGGATGCGGCATCGTGTTGCTTGGCCCACCCTCAAGCGGCTCCGAATTAGTTCACCTAACTATCAGTAATTCAGGGGAATACGGTTTGAAAGTGGAGCGAGGTGTCGATGTTCTTCACGACGATGATGAAAGCAACAAAACCGGCGAAAGCAACGACAGCAAGAGTAACACCACTGACGACGGGAAGAAGCTACTGAGAATTAAAAATACCGAGATAATTCGAAATGTCAAGGGCGGTGTACTGCTGGAGGCGTGTGTGTGTCTAGATGGGTGCACGATCAGCCAAAATAGCAACGTAGGTGTGGTGTGTCAAGGCGTGTGCCGTCCATTGCTTTCAGGCTGCCACTTGCATGAAAATGAGGGGGTGAGCGTTGAGGCGCAGACCGGCTCTATGTTGGAGCTACGTGACTGTGTTTTGGAAGATGCCCCTGTTGGCGTGCGTGTGCAGTCGGTTTTGAAGATGGCACGATGCATTGCACGGCACCTTGGTGTCGCCGTCGATTTCCGCTTAGATGATGTGTCAGTGGATAACTCAACGTTGTGCGAGTGTGCCTTCTCCGGCAACACAGTGGGTGTGTCCTGCACCAGCACATCGGACGGTGCTGCAGTGGGGGCGATTATCCTGGAAAGGTGTATGTTTAACGAGAACCCGGGGACAAGTGTCTGCATTGAGAAGGGCCCACGGGCGTTACTGAACGCCTGCACATTCGAGTCATCCACCGATGGCGTGAAGGCGATGGATAAAGCAATCGTAGTTGTTGAGGCTTGCACCTTTAAAGTGAACTCCAATGCCATCAGTATGTCAGACGTGGAGGATGTGGAAGTGAAAAACTCTGCCTTCGCTAGACAGCTGAATTATGCGATTAGTGTCGTTGGCAACAGTGGTTTAGTTCGTATTACTGATAACACCTTCAGCGAGAACGGTCAATGCAGTGCTTCTTTTTCTGCGGAGGGGGCGAGCATCTTGGCAAGCGGCAATATGTTCGAGGGTGACGCTTGCGGCATGCTTATTCACAGGACCCCGCAGGCACACATCTACAACAATCACTTCCATGCCTGTCAAAATGGTGTCATTATACGTGGTGCTGGGTCCTGTGGAGACGTTTTTAGCAACACGTTTCAGAAAAATGTCTGCGGGTGTCTCTGTGAACAGGATGCCTTTGCTCAGTTATGGCGCAACGTGTTTGAAGAAAACAGTGAATTCGGGATGTGTTGTACTAGCGGAGCAAATCCGATCGTTGTGGAAAACACCTTTTCTCGGCACACTGCCAGCAGCAGTTCCGGTTTGAGAGTTCAGGATGGAGGGGTAGGTCACTATGCCTTTAACCAGTACGTGAAGAACGCGTGTGGTGTGCATTTGGGGGCGACGGGCGACACCGTTGTTGTTAATAACAGCGCTTTTGAAGGGAATAGTATGGCCGTACAGCTGATGGAAGGCGTTGCGGCGCACATCCTGGTGTGCACCTTCTCTGGCAGCACTTTGGGCGACGTCCATGCATCTGGATCAATCGAGCAGGGTCGTTGTGTGTTGGCGTACAACAGCTTCACGTCCAAAGGCTGCGCAGCGGTCACAGTGTGCAGGGACGCCGCGGTTGTTGTTTTTCGCTGTGTCTTTCTGGGCGCTAACAGCAAGGGACTGGTTCAGGGTTGCCGCGGCAGGAGTCAGGTGTTGGAGTCTCTGTTCTACCAAATTGCCTATGGTGTCGTGGCGCAGGAGAGCAGCGAAGGCAGTGTGGGAAGAAGCATATTCATCCGCTGCGCAACATCCGTGGAGGCCTGCGCACGAACAACGATACGCCTTAACTCCTGCAATTTCCTCGCCAAGTCAAATAGTGTGGCAGTGTTGGTCCATGGCGAAGCCGCGCCAGTTTTCCAGCAATGTAGCTTTGTGGGGTGCCAGATGACCCATCCGCTCCTGCGTTCAAGCGGTGGTGGCGGCGTCGTGGAAAACTCTTCCTTCACCGGTGGAGATGTCTCTGTGATACTGGAGGGGCACTCCACAATGAAGTTGCATAAGAACACGTTTTTCAAGGGTGCTGTCGGTGTGACACTCGCCCCTTTGTCTAAGGGAAGGGTGGAGGATAATGTCTTTCATCCGCACCATGTGGCAGCAGTGAAAATCATGGACAACGCCGGTGGTGTGTTGACAGGCAACGCGTTTGTGCAACCCCTGGAGAGCGGCGGCATGATGGCAGGGATGCACAACGTGATTGTGGAAAATTGTAAGACCCTCGAAATGCCCAAAGCACGGGCTTCGAAAGAGACAGCCGATGACTCAAGCTTCGAAGAGGCAATACTCACTGCATTTGTAGAGTACTTGACAGCGGGACCACACTGGGTGAGACAAGGCATGGGTGAGACGCCGCATGCCGAGACGCTGCCTCTGTCAGTCGTGGCGGCTATGAATGAGCTGGAAGCGGACGCAATGGATGAGGAACAGGAAACGGGGAACGAGGTGGGGAGAACAACAGAAGAAATGGAAGAAAATTTGTCATCTGGAAATAGCAAGCCAAAACAGCAACAAGAAGAAGACCAGCAGCAGCAGAGGCATGGAGCTGGGCCCACAACTGCGAAAAAAGGCCGAAAGAAGAAGGAAGTTGAAGTGTTCTCCTTCCCTGTCAGCAACACCATTCTCCGCGTGCCGAAGAACGTTCAGCGCGCGTTGTTGGCGTGGGTGGACCAGCATGGCATCACCTTGAACGTGGAGGAAGTAAAACAGCCTACTGCGACCAAAAAAGTATACCAGGTGTGTGACACACGGATGCTAAAAAATGTTGGTGAGCGCATGTCCGCTCTGAAAGAAACCCAGCGTGGAAAGAAGCGAGGCAACTTTGTCGGCTCTGATCCAGAGGAAGTCAGAGGGGCAGACACGTTCAAGGAGGACACTACGAGCGGAGAGGCAATTGCTGGCGACGCGCCGAGCGAGCCCAAGGAGGGGACGAGGAAGCCAAGTGTGGATGTGAAGCTGGACTCGACGCGGTCCACTGAAGCATCGGAGACAGCGCTGTGCCCGCGACTCAGTAGAACTAGGAGCGGCATTGGGGGCAGCGGAAGAAGTGGGGCGAAGGAGGAGGGGCGGAAGCGGCGCCGCGTTCTTCCGCCGCCGTTAAGGAGCACGGACAAGAGGGCGCATCCAAGCCACTCGCCACACAGCGGTCCGCTCGTAACACTTGTAAGCTGCCTCCATAAATGCGGGGTCGAAAAACGACGCCGCAGGCAAAGAAAGAAAATAGCCGAAGAGTCCCCTTTGGCATATGAAGATGTGGCGTCGGCGCTGATGATGCTGCAAAGCAGAGATGATCAGTTCTCCTCTTCGTCATATGGTGATGGCAGAAGAGCTAGGAGTGAGTACGACGAATTCTCCCATTGCAGTATTCTGGCTTCTAGTCGGGGCTCGACTATGGGGAAGAAAGGAGTCAGTCTGTCAAGTAGCCGCCAGCGTTCGCTAGCGCACACGGAAGACGAGACAAACGATGGCGAAGGCGTCAAGTGTAGAAATGATCACTCGATGTCCAGCTGGAGCTGCTCGCCCATCTCTACTAGTGGAAGAGATATGGCGAAGGCGAGAGGATTTGGTGATTTTACAGAGGGTAGGGAAGAGGAGGGGGGTGAGGGAATTCAATCAGGAAACGCTGGCAGTAGGGAAGGATTCCTGCTCACGGGTTCGCTCATGGAGAGCGTCACACGGGAGACAGATGGCTCTCCTAGCAGAATTCGTCTCTCAAGCAAGATCCCCTATTGTGGTGAGGCGAAGACGGTTTCGGTGGTGGTCGCAGAGGGAAATAATGTCGCTGGTGTGGCACGAAGCAATGAACGTGCAGGCAAGGAAAGTCTTTCCCCTGACACTCTCCTAGAAGGTGATCTGGAAACACCGATCGATATCGGGGAAACAATGCGCATGGGGTTGGAGAAAAAAAGGCAATCAAAGCGAGACACCAAGCTGGCTCTAGAAGGGAACGAGAAAAAGGATGCAGCATCATTGCTCAAGGGCCAGCAGGCTGCCAGTGGTGGCCTCCGATCTTCACTCAAGGCAACGAAACGCAGAGTCGACGGTTTCAGCAGCACTGTTACCGCATCTGGAATATTTTCCGAGACCAATTCATTAGTCAGAAGCACATCAACTTCTTTAGGGGATCACTGTGCCTTCCCCACGACGGATTCGGTGGAAGAAGTGGTACCAACGAAACATCAAGGAAGCGCAGAAGCTGTGAACGCTGCTAAAACAGGACGGAGCGTGGAGTCAGAAGCGGCGGCGGCGGCAGCAGCAGCGCACCCAGGGTTGAAGAAGAGGACCACCGAAGATAATCCACTGCATTCTGGATTGGCACAACAAGACGTTACGGCAGCGACTGGTCAGGAAGGGAAAGGTACTCTGTCGGCTACGATTGACGCAGGGAGAGTGGAGGATGAAGGTCGGCATTCCACGCAGCGAGGCGTGACACCGGTCTCAGGTTCCAACCGACCCACGCATGGTGACAGTGGCCGAGAGACGCGCGCAACCACTGGTACTCCTGGTGGTGGGCGGAGACGGCGGCTAGTGGGGGGCGAGGATGGTGGGAGAGTCTCTCGCCGTGGGCCTTCCAGTGCAGCAGGGGGTCCCTTATCGCATCAGCGGCCCCTGACACCCGCCATGGACACTTCGAAGGCTGGGCGTCGCAAGCGGACGGGGGGGCCACACGCAGCGTCGGGGGGCTCCCAGGAGCAGGTAGGCGGCGGCAGTGTTATGCGTCTGCCCAAGCTGACTCTGTCGTCGTTGCATGGGTCCCAGGTAATGACCATGGGTGGCGATGGTGGTGACATCGCCTGGGTTCCTGCAGTTCCCCCACTTTCTGAAATGGGCCGCGCGTTGCTTGAAGCGCTCGAGGGCAACGTGTTCCACAATGATTCTTTACTGCAGGCGCATCTGCAGACCGCGATGATGGGGCCGAGTCGAGGAGTGACACCCGCTTCTGCAGTCTCCGGTGCCAGGACGCTGACGTCGACCCCGCTGCTGGAGGGCTGGAGCATCTCAGACAGCGAGTCAGAGGCGGAGGTGGAGGATATCATCGCTCTGCTTCGGTGGCTCGCTGACATGCGTGAGCAGAAGTTGCTGAGTCAGGGTGACTTCCGCGTGGCTGTCAACTGCATCCAGACAAATACAAAGATCCCCTTCTTTCTTTCCGAGGGCAGTGGCACAGGAGGGGAGCCAACGTTGATGGTGCGTCTGCCGCAATCCTCAGAAGAAGCTGTTATCGTGCCGCTGATGGGTGGACCGGTCGGTATGACGCTGTTCACACGACCCACGGAAGGGCAGGGCACTGTCAGCGTCAGCAGGGTGCAGCTCCACAGAGCAAGCTTGGGTGCCCCGGTGTGTACCAATGACATGGGTGAGGAGTTTAAGGCGTTTTCTTTGCCATGCCTCGATCACCGAAGTGATAGGACGAAAGCTGTTAATGCTGGGAGCCTTTTGGACACAGTTTCGCACCAACAGGTAGACAAGCCAGCGCTCTTCTTCGCCCATGCCAAACTGCCTCGCACTCACTTTCAGGGACGTAGAGAACTGCCGGGTGTGCTGGAATCCGCTTTTAAGGCGCGACCGTGGCCGCGATCGGCTCTCCACTCTGTTGTTCTCTTAAATGGGCTAGACAAACAACTAGTGGAGGTCAATTCATCAAATGTGAAATCATTGGACGCAATGGGCATGCAACAATCCTCTGTTTTCTCCACTTGTGAAAAGGCCTCTCGAAAAAGCGTGCCTTGCTTCAACCCCGCAGCCCCGCAGGAAACATCGCCCTACAACAAGTCAACTCGAGTAGCCGCTTTTATTGACACAGGCACGTCGAACTTTATGATGTAAATTTGCATCGCTCTTCCATTCCCCCCCCCCCTGATATTCTTCTGTATGCATGTCTGTAAATATATATATATATATATATTTGCGTGTGTAGACATATGTACTGTGATGTAAAGAATATACACAAGCCAATTTGTCGCTTCTGCTGTGGATCTCCTCATCCCCAAGAGGACACTATACGTGGAAAGGGGCTAAAGGAAAGAAGCCTTGCTGGACAGCACTGTACTTTGACATGGTGGTGTTATCAATGAACTTTTTTTACTCCTTTATTTTTTTGTAGCCACTACACGAAGGATCTGCTCTCACGAGACGTGCAGTGATGGATATCCTGCACTTGCTCTCAGTTGCGTACAGAGGGACCAAAGAGGAGCGAACGGCGGCGACTGCGCAGCTTGAGGAGGCTCTCCAATCTGCTGATGGCCCCGTACATCTTGTGACTCTGCTACGTGCTGGCACAGACCTGACGCTGCCATCGGAGCAAAGCCTCTCTGCCCTTATATACGCGAAGAATTGCATCGTGCACACGCTTGATGAGGATAAACTCGCTAGTGTTCCAGGGGTGCTGGAGGAAGTAAAGTCTCTACTCTACAGCGGTGCCTTCCGTATGCCGCCCATGCATCAAAAGACTATCCACATTTGTGTCGCTACAATTATTAGCGCATTTGAATGGAACTACCTCCCACAGCTGATGCCAGAAATCACCTGTGACAGGGCGAACGTCTCCGTCGATCACGCTTTAGCAACGCTGCGGATGTTGTACGTATTCATCAAGAGGTTCAAGACGCCGATGCTGGAGCCGATGCCAATGAAATTGGAGATCTGCAGATGCCTCTTCACAGCCCTCCCACCATTCCTGTCGTATGGGGACCTGCGCGTGGACCATGTTGTGTTGAAAGCAATGGAGTGTGTTGTGGAAACGGCGCTGCAGGTCAAGGAGGCGCACGACATTCCACCAGAGGCCTTCGATGCGTGGTTTCATGAAATGGCGCAGCACCCGGAGCGTCACTTCGCTGCGGCTTGTGAAGCGGCAGCAAATGGATCCCAAAAGGTGTATGAAGAGTACGTGCGCTGCCTCAAGCGGATTGCCATGATCTCCTACTCCGTTCTCAATGATGCGACACGAAAGAAGAAGCCACCACCGGTGGCGAGGCGCTTCTTGACAACACACGCCGCAGCCTTCTTTGGTGTCTGGAGGCGGTGGCTAGAGTACGCCGCCACCTCCAAGTCGCGGAGTCTGCATCACAAGGCCGATATGTTTGCCATTCGCTACATCAAGCTGTGCACCCTCGAGAGATCTCTTTACCGAGAGCATCTTCTACCGCAGCTGATGCACGTTATAGAATCGCTTCTGTTTCCGTATTTGTGCTTCAGTGAGGAGGATGAATCCGCGTTCGCAGATGAGAGTGACCTCTCGGACTTTGTGCAGTACATGATGGAGGAGGGCTTCGACCAGAGTGAAGTGTCGCAGCGGCAGGCAGCGTCCAACGCAATATTGGCGATGGTTAAAGGAGGGAAGGACTTCCACGAGGACGCCTTGCAGAAAATTATTCAAGCCCTCACTCTGGGTTTGTCGCAGGAAGACAACAGCGAAACATTTCCGCAAACCTTTGGCTTCCTTCATCTCCTGTCGGTGCTGAGGAAGCACCTGCGCAAGATTCCCGAAATTTGGGAGGCGCAGATGGCGCAGGTACTCATGACGTTCGTGGCGCCGCGTGTTCTCCCAACTGTTCCATTTGTCCCATTGCGCTGCAAGGCCCTTGTTGTATGCCAGCGTTACTCCAAGGCTCCTATCCCCTCGGAGGAGCACTTCGCTTCTTTCACGCAGCTCATCTGTGCTCTCGTGCAGGACAACGATGCGCGGGTTCGTCTGGGCGCTATTGACGCCCTCTGTACTTTCTTGGAGATGAAGCGCGCGCTGCCGTATATCCGCCCGATTCTTGTACCATTGGTAGAGGAATGCATTGGCTTCCTTAACCGTGTACATACCTCATTCGTGCCAACGGCCTTACTATACCTGGTGGAGCACTTTGCACCAGAGCTAACACCTGTGTTGGGTAAAATCGGTACAACGCTCGTACAGCACTTCCTTGCAACGGCATTTGATCTGGCGCAACAAGAAGAAGCGATGACAGAACAGAATCTTTCACTGTATTGGCGTACTGACATGAGTGCGTGTGCGCTGCTGGATGCGTTGGATACCATCGTGCAAGCCTCCACACACCACATGGAGGTGTTCAACAGCATACGGCCAGACCTACTGCTGTTGACGAGAAAAGTGCTGGAGCAAGAAGATAACATTGAATTTGTGGAAAAGACGCTCGTCATCTTGCTACATGTCATCCACTTTTCTAAGCCCATTCCGCAAGACTACTGGGGTGTACTCCCGCTGTTGTTCCACTCCGTAGACTCCGGCATCGGCGTGGATTTTTTCGTCAACATTGAAGAAGTGCTCGACAATTACGTCTCCAACGGGACAGTCGAGTACCTGCAGAACGCCGAGCTCATGGAGGCGACGTACCAGACGTGCGATAAGATGCTTTTCAAGTGTGCGTGTGGCACTGATGAACGAATTGCGGTGCCGCAACTGATTGAGGCAATGCTGCACCAAGCAAAACACTGCGAGGCGGCACCAGGCCTCTTCGACGCGCACCTCCCGCGCTTCGTTATGCTCCTGCTGCGCGCACTCTCGGATGACAGGATCCGCCAGGGAGAGGTGCGACTGCAGGTATGGATCGTGGCAGCGCTGATGGACGCCTTCTACTACAATGCCGCCGCGACGCTGCAGATTATAGTCGACTACAACGCCCACCCGGCGCTGTTTGACGCTCTGTTTCACTTCTTTCGTGGTGCCATTGGTCGGAAGGACACCGCTACGAAAGGCAAGAAGGGGAAGCGCGGTAAAGACGACAACGCAAGTGAGATAGTCGAAAATCTCTCCCTCCTCACACGCAAGGTGGTTGTTTTGGGTATGACCTCCCTACTGATGCACCTCAGTAGCAACAACAACAATGGCCTGGTGGCATTCGACGCCTACATACAGCCTACGCTGGCGCTCATTGAGTACTGTGTGTTCCGCAATGACGCCATTCTCCAGTCGCGCTGCCGCATATCGGAGAAGAACTTGTCGAAGATCCGCCAAGGCATTGAGGAGGCGGACGTCGAGGACATTGACCTCGAAGACGAAGATGTGCTGGGAGTTGACGATGCCGACGACGCCGAAGACATGATTAGCGACACCGATGATGCTGACGACGACGATGATGACGATGACGAGATCGGACAGCGTCAAGATGAGGGTGACGACTATGTGAGCCCTATCGACGATGTGTGCGAAGTATCACTCTTTCTCCAGTGGGCAGCGAAGGTACCAGGCCTCGGCGACGGCGTGCAGCAGCACGTGCAGTGTGCCCTGACGAAATCAGCGGAGGAGTTCCGCGCAGCGGAGGCAACGGCGCTGCGGTACCGCCGCCTTGTGCAGGAGATCGACCACGCGATGGAGGAGGACTTCCGCGCCCGCGCAGCAGCAACTTCAAACTGAGATGATGAGTGGAAAGTTAGCACGCAAGGTAAAGGAAGGAGTAGAAAAAGAAAAAGAAAAAAAGAACAGAGAGGAAGGAATGGAAACTGGTGGCACGGAGGTGCAGGTCCGATTAAGGGAAACTAATGAAGTGTGATGCTAAACTGGTTGAGTCACGGCGAGTAATTCGAATGATACTGTGTGCTCCGCCTTTCATTGAGCCATAAATGTGTGAGTGTGTATGATATGGCCCCCATATATTGTTCTCCTTCCTCAGCTGATCTTGGTGGTGGTGTTGAATTCCTTTCTCACCTTCCCTCCAGAGATGAGAAGCGTTGGAAGACTGGGGGAGGGAACAAAGTGAAAACATGTATATGCGAAGTGCATTATGCAATGTGTGTGTGTGTGTATATTATAAGCTTCACTCACTGTATAGCGTGTTTCTCTCTTCAGTTCTGTTGCTGGTGTGAAAAACGGTAAAGTGAGTGGGCGAAGGCCAATAGGCAGCTGCGGAGGCTGGTTGACGCGGGCACTTTTGCGCTCGCATAAATAGAAACTGGTTCTCGTCCTCGCGGCTGTCGTGGGGAGTTGTGTCAAAACTCCCACTGGAAGAAGTTCTGCACTGGCAGGAACAACAGCAAGAAGGAGGAAAGAATAGGAGGAAAGAGGAATCGAGAAGGAAACAAGGATAAGGAAGGGATAAGGAGCGACTGCTCAATTATAGTGGGTGATGGGCAGCGCAGTCACTAGACATCGGGAGAAAGAGACGGTAACCCGGGCGCCTTGCATCGTTTCCGCCAAGAACGCTAGGCGCATTGTGAACACGCCAAAGTACCAAGTAGCAGCGAAGTCGCCCGCGGCACCCGATATTTACACTCGACGGAAGGACTCGCATGATACACCGGCTCTATCATTAACGGGATCAGGGGGAGATGGGATGAAGATTCAAATGCGTGAAAAGAGGCCCCCGCTACCCCCCTTGGTGCTACCATCTAGTAGTTGCATGGTGCGGTCAAAGTACATCCCCGGCACACAGAACAAGCAATGGGCCATGAGTGACACACCACCCTTCGCGAAGGAGCCGGTAGGCGCGGCGAAGATCGTCCGTGTGCCACTCTCCGCCCCTGTTCCGCCGCAGACCACCGATGACACGTTTGACTTGCAGTCAGCCGGCAGCAGCTGTCAGGGCAACGATGCGGGTCTCCCGTTAGGCACGCTGATGGGCGCTAGCGGCGATGCGCAGAGGCACGTGGTGGCGAAAGAAATGCCTGCTTCCGTAGCAACGAATAGCGGGAAGAGGTCAAACCCTCTTATGGAGTGCAGCTTTGACGCGAATGGGGCATCGAGCGTCGGCTCTGCAGGACCCGTCACCAATGTGCAATCCTTCCTTCCATTCGTTCTTCCACAGAACATGGACGAGCGGTCTTCGAATAACTTTATTGAGTATATCACTCAACACGCGTTGGAACTGAGAGGACCACGTGACCTTCTCTGGTTTAACGTGGACTATGATCGTAGGCTCCTCCGGCGGCGCAGGGAGCATGTGGCGATTAGCTGGTGTCCCACAGAAGAAATTGCCATCCCCGAGACAAGCGAAA